ATGGGATGAACAGTTATAGGCCTGGTCCAATACCCAGAAAAGTACCTAGTAAAAAAACTTCTGAGACAGCTCTTGCAGAGTACCAAGTAGTATCCTTTGTTAAAATTCTGATATGTACATTTAATAATGCACTTCATAACATGTCATCATGATCTTGGTGAAATCTAACACAAGATAGACTAAACACCTAAGTACAAGTCAGTGAGTCACAGCAATCTGGTTTTTGTTTTTTTAAAGGCAAAAGAGCTGCACAAATATATGATTTCAGAACCTAACAAAGTAGTAAGCAAGGTATGACAGGATGCCCAAACTCTTAAAAATTAGACAAACACAAAAACCAGACTCTTAAGTTACTTTGCTTTCTTTTCTTTTTGTTTTTGTTTTGCTGTTGTTTTCAAAACAGGGTTTCTGTGTAGCCCTGGCTATCCTGAACTTGCTCTATAAACAAGACTGACCTCCAACTCAGAAATCAGCCTGTCTCTGCCTCCCAAGTGCTGGGATTAAAGGGATGCACCATCATGCCCAGCTTGTTTTGTTTTTTCTTTTGCTCTCTGTGGTAATAGGAATTGACACCAGAGCTTTGTGTGTCAGAAGAATATTCAACCACTGACCTGTACATACTCTAGCCCTTGTTGTCCACTACTTAACTAAAACATCAGAAAACTGGAGTTAGCCAGTCTGTATGGGATGAACAGTTATAGGCCTGGTCCAATACCCAGAAAAGTACCTAGTAAAAAAACTACACCCATTCCCACCTCCCCTTCCACCAGCCCAGGCATCCTCCCAAGAATCCAGGATTCTCCCATGATGTAGGCACCAACATGATGGGATCAGCCCTGAAGAGAAGTAAGACACGCATCAAGCAGCAGGATATACGTTCTACCACGAAGTTGACCACTGCAATTCCACTCATAGGCACATTGTAACAGTAGGTACAGTTTTTGTTTTTGTTTTTGTTTTTTTTTCTGAGAAAAGACAGAAAATGTAGGTAAGGCTGTTTGTTTTGTCACTAGGAGACACAAGAAAGCTTAGGCATTGACCCTCACAGAAGATAAAACCCTAAAGAAGAAAGAGAACACCATCATTCCTGGCAGGCCAGAACCCCCTAGGGAGTAGACATGGATGATCGAGCAAGAGGAAATCCTGGCCAATGTATTCTATGTTTCCTTCTTACACTGAGACATGTGATAAACTATATATGAGTCTGAGACAGCTCTTGCAGAGTACCAAGTAGTATCCTTTGTTAAAATTCTGATATGTACATTTAATAATGCACTTCATAACATGTCATCATGATCTTGGTGAAATCTAACACAAGATAGACTAAACACCTAAGTACAAGTCAGTGAGTAACAGCACTGACTGGCTTTTGTTTTTTTAAAGGCAAAAGAGCTGCACAAATATATGATTTCAGAACCTAACAAAGTAGTAAGCAAGGTATGACAGGATGCCCAAACTCTTAAAAATTAGACAAACACAAAAACCAGACTCTTAAGTTATTTTTTGCTTTCTTTTTGTTTTTGTTTTGCTGTTGTTTTCAAAACAGGGTTTCTGTGTAGCCCTGGCTATCCTGAACTTGCTCTATAGACAAGTCTGACCTCCAACTCAGAGATCAGCCTGTCTCTGCCTCCCAAGTGCTGAGATTAAAGGGATGCACCATCATACCCAGCTTGTTTTATTTTTTCTTTTGCTCTCTGTGGTATTAGGAATTGACACCAGAGCTTTGTGTGTCAGAAGAATATTCAACCACTGACCTGTACATACTCCAGCCCTTGTTGGCCACTACTTAACTAAGACATCAGAAAACTGGAGTTAGCCAGCCTGAATGGGATGAACAGTTATAGGCCTGGTCCAATACCCAGAAAAGTACCTAGTAAAAAAACTACACCCATTCCCACCTCCCCTTCCACCAGCCCAGGCATCCTCCCAAGAACCCAGGGTTCTCCCATGATGTAAGCACCAACATGATGGGATCAGCCCTGAAGAGGGCTCAGTAAGAAGTAAGACACGCATCAAGCAGGATATACGTTCTACCACGAAGTTAAAACAAACTACAAAGTTGTATTGTTAGAGCAACCTCCAGGGAAGGTAGCAAGAGTGGCAGAAGTCTGATGGCAGAATAGAAGGAAAGAAGAGACTCAAGGTGTCACTGACACTCTGGTTCCAGAACAGTTCTTCCTGGAATCCCCATGCTAACAAAGATCTTTTCCCCTTTTCTTTCTTTTTTGTGTGTGTGTGCACATGCGTGTGTGTTAAAGCTATTTCAAGTATGGGTTCTATTTCTCATATGATAATTTAATAGCTTAGGAAAAACAGAGGTTTGACTAGTTCTCTGAAGTCTACCTACCTCACAAAGACTAAGTTGGGTGACATGTAGCCTGGAGCTAGCCTGACACACTCAGATTGAAAGTTTATCCTCTCAGGCCCAAGCAGTTAGCATCCACATCTGCTCTCTCTCTGACAGTGTGGGGCAGATGCTGACTCATGTCTGGAGGGGATCCCCAGGTGTAGCCTCACCTAATCCAGCCACACTGCTGTGGTTCTCCAGCATCACCTCCCTGTAGAGGGCCCTCTGACCAGAATCCAGACATTGCCACTCCTCCCGAGAGAAGTGCACAGCCACGTCGCCAAATGTCACCGCCTCCTGAAATCAGGATACACACTAGCACCCCAGATGTCCTTGTGTGCCAGCTCCAATCTGGCACCATAACATATCTCAGGTAGGTGACCCATGGGATTGGGTTAGAGTCACAGGGATCCCTCTAGCTCTTAAATCTGAGGTGAAAGGGAGGGACTTAGACCTCGGTAGTGACCTGATACTCCTCTCCACTGAACAGGGACAGGTAGGCTCTGGTCTGGGCAGATGCCTCAGGGTCTAAGCCTGGCAAGAGCCACAGTGAGGGTCAAAGCTAGATCTATGCTCAGGCCAGGCGGGGCAGACCCCCAAAACAGGAAGTGGAGGCTTCACAGAACATACGGGGGGGAAAAACAGGCAGCCAGGCTTCCTACCATGAGATTTGGAGGGTGGGATCCACTTGTTTTGATTCAGACACCTGTGAGAAATTATGAAAAGATCAGAGGTCAGGGTGGAGGAAGATCCCCAATTCCCAGGGTAATCCAAGGGTCTTTGTATCCCCTGCTTCTTTACCACCATCTCCAGACATACAGGGACACCAGACTGGGCTAACAGCCCTGACATTTGAGTATCAGCCTCTGAGACCCTTGTCTGTGTGGGGTTGGGGAGTTGAGTCACTTCACAAACACATTAAGAATGGCTGCCAGGGGCCACACATCACAATGGGAGAGGCAACAGTGAATTTACATGAAGTTTGTCTTCATGAGACACTTAGAAGAGACAAATAACCACACACACACACACACACACACACACACACACACACCACAGACACGATAGTGCTGACGTAAAGGGAACTAGTAACGTGTTTAAATGAGAAACTCTGGTAAAGTCTAAAAAGTATTCCTCCATGGGCCCCAGCCAAAGTGATGGTGGTAGGGAAAGCACTCGGGAACCTCAAAACAAAGTGAGCACAGTGAGCCAGTGTGTGAGACAAAGAAAGTAAGGGAAGCAGGGTTAATTGAAGGCAGTAGAAGACGGGCCAGAAGGAAGGACTTCGGGGGAGGTGGGGGCAGAATCCCTGTTCTCAAGTACCTAAAATCCAGTATAGGTTACAGCTGCCCTAAGCATTAGATAAGTACCCCTCAGCTTAACAAAGCCCTCAGGCCCCTCCTCAGCCCACCCCCACCCCGCCTTGGTAGCTTTTGGCCCAGGTGTCAGGTCATTGGCTAGCCCAAAGCAGCAGTCAACACCAGAAAAGGGTTCCCCTCTCAGACCCCAGCATCTGGACAGCCAATGGGAAATCGCGGTCCCAGATAGATGACAAACCCTGAGGTGCCATCTGAGTCCACAACCGTGACAACACTTTCAGCCTGTCACTGACTCTAGGCTTTCAAGGCGCAGAAAATGAGGGGAAAGATGATCCCAGGAAATGATTACTCGGGAAAAATTAGGGAGGCAGCTCCTGGAGGAGCTGTGATGCTCCGCTATTTGACTTGCATATTCGACCAAGTCCCCCGCCAGGCACTCACAACAGCCCCGAGCCTTCCATCTCTTCTGGGGGAGAGGCGGGTGTCCCTTGCTCTGACAAGGAATGCAATTACGCCGACTCACCCAGTCTGGGCGCGTCTGGGACCCGCCAACAGAGCGAGCCACCGGAAACGGCTTCGCACGCCCATCCCTCCTCGTCCCACCAGGCAGACTTCCTCCGGTTCAGATCCGCTCGCAGGCCAGAGCATCTCGCTCGATGGTTCCCCAGCCCCGCCCCCACTCCTGTAACCTCGGGGGCGGGGCCAGAAGTTAGCTGGTAAAGAGGGGGCTAGAGTCTAGGGGCAGGTCCAGGAGTGTGGAGCCGGGAGGAAAGGTTGAAGATCTCGGAAGCCAGGGTGCGAGCAGGAGGCGGGGTTAGGTCGGGAGCCTGGAGCGGAGGCGGGGCCAGCAGTGGAACCTTTCCGAGCTTGCAGTGGGTTGCTTTGGATGTTGAGCCTCTTCATGGGTGAAACTCCGTGCTAGCTGGAAAAGCTGACCTCTGGGGAATGCCACTAATCACCAGCTTAGGGTTTGGTATTTCAAGCTTACCCTGACAGGGCGTAGCCCAGTTAGCTTTTCCTTAAGAAGAACGAACTGGTAAGCCCCAGAAGCCTTTACCCTCCTGAGTCAGAGCACGCTGGCCTGGGGTTGTAGGGGGTGGCACAGGTGGGGTAAGCAGGAGGCTGGACCGGGATTCACTACAGCTGTTGGGCCAGATAGATGAACTAGGACCTGAGAGGCTGTGGAGGGGGAACCTCAGTGGAAGTCTCTTGCCAAGAGCTTTATTCTGGAGATCAGGGGCGTTTGACACTGCACTCCCCAAACCCTCCTCAGCTTCTGGCAAAAAAGAAGCCGCTCTGGGTGTCTGGAGCTCCCAGACCAAGGATCTTAGACTCAGAGACTGTCAGAGCAGAGGTCACAAACAGGATCTGAAGATACATACAAATGCCAAGACGAAATATGAAAAAGTAAGGTAAAGTCTTACTTCAATAATACATATTCAACCACAGTGACATAGTGAGACAAAGCCGAACCAGCCCACTGGAGATGTTAACTTCCAAAGCCTTCTTTGGAGTCATGGACTCCAGACATCTGATGGCCTTTGTAATACCCTTCCTTAGTCTATTTTTTTTTCTATGTCTCTGCCCCCAACCGCTAGAATCACAGGGGTGTACCACCATGCCAGTGGCTTCCTCAGACCGCTTCTAATGAGAAAGATCCTGCCCAGATTGCAGTCTCCTTTCCTTATCCAGATTCCCCTTGGGTTCCTGATCCCTAAAGATAGTTTTGAGGAGAAAGCACCTCTTAACTTCTCAAGAATGCCGTCTCCTGAGTATATCTGATTCCTTCTACCAACTCTTCTTGCCCAAACATTGTTCCATTGTTCTTCAACTGTAGGAGAGCCTAGGCCTTTAACAACGATGACTTCTTCTTCTTCTTCTTCTCCCTCTTCCTCCTCTTCTTCTTCTTCCTTTTTTCTGAGGCAGGGTTTCTCTTTGGAGGCTGTCCTGGATCTAGCTTTTTTTTTTTTTTTTTAAGATTTTACTTATTTATTATGTATATAACATTCTGCTTCCATGTATATCTGCACACCAGAAGAGGGCACCAGATCTCATAACGGATGGTTGTGAGCCACCATGTGGTTGCTGGGAATTGAACTCAGGACCCTTGGAAGAGCAGTTGGTGCTCTTAACCTCTGAGCCATCTCTCCACACCACACCCCCCCAATCTAGCTCCTATAGACCAAGCTGGCCTTGAACTCACAGAGCTTGGCAAAACTCAGTGAAGGACTGAGAAATAATGAAGTGAGTGTTTCAAGGAGGCTAGAGGCCTATTGTGTCAGTACTGTTGAGAGGGTGTACAATGAAAGGAAAAGACTCTGGGAAAACAACACTGAGGAAGCTCTTGCTTTTTGTTTGTTTTTGTTTTTCGAGACTGAGTGTAGCCCTGGCTGTCCTGGAACTTGTTTTGTAGACCAGGCTGGACTGGAACTCACAGAGATCTGCCTGCCTCTGCCTCCCAACCAAGTGCTGATGTTAAAAGGCATGTGCCACCACCACCTGGCTCTGAGGGAGCTTTTAACAAATTGGAGGTTATTAAAGAGAGAGAGAGAGAGAGAGAGAGAGAGAGAGAGAGAGAGAGAGAGAGAAGGAGATGGGGGGGACTGCATGTGCACACTCCTGAGCTGCCCCTATGGTCACCTCCTACCTGAAGGCTTTTGGAACAACCTGATCTTTATACTATGTCCAAAGTCACAAGACTTCTGTTTCATTCACATTTTATTATGTCTTTCTATTTTTATGTGAATGTGTATCTGTAAGAGTGTATGCTATGGCCAGGCGGTGGTGGCACATGCCTTTAGTCTCAGCACTCGGGAGGCAGAGGCATGCGGATCTCTGTGAGTTCGAGACCAGCCTGGGTTCCAAGAGCTAGTTCCAGGACAGTCTCCAAAGCCACAGAGAAACCCTGTCTCGAAAAACCAAAAAATAAAAAAAGAGTGTGTGCTATGGAGTCCAGAATAGTGACCTGGATCTGGACTTAGAGATGGTTGTGAGTGACATGATTGGAGTGCCAGGAATGGAACTCTGGTGATTTGAATGAACAGCAAGGACTCTTAGCCACTCAGTCACTTCTCCAGCATCCATAGTCTTTCTTTATCTTCTAGATCAATGCCTGTTATGTGGCCCCTATTGTTCCTGAACATTAAATAGAATTTCTTAGAAAGGAATTGTAATAGCCACGGAGTCAGGCAACTTCAGGGGTGAACTCACATATTAATATACCTTCAAAGTATCTTTTTGTTTTCAGAAAAAAGACTTCTTTGTTCAAGCTGAGCATGCAGAGAGGTATTCCTGTTCATCACACGATTCTCCACATGTGGACTCTGTGACCTCTAACTGAGCATGCTCAGGATGTGCTCTCTAACTGAATACTCTTAGGAGAGGGCCAGCCCTCATACGAATGTGTCTAGGCACCCTTTTTTCCAGGAAGGCCTTGCTTTTTTAGCTCTCTCCATTCTCTTGTCTGCTACAGATAATAATTCCTCCTCTGACTGACATTTTGATTATGTTCTTTTTGGCTTTGTACACATCAACATGGGAAACTATTGTGTCTGGTCACAGAATTTATACTGCTGTATGTTATACAGCAGTAAGCATGTGTAAGTTACCAATTTCTCATATCCTGCAGACCACTGAGCTATCTGAACTTTGGTCTCCCAATGCAATCTCTCTCTCTCTCTCTCTCTCTCTCTCTCTCTCTCTCTCTCTCTCTCTCTCTCTCGGTTTTTTGAGACAGGGTTTCTCTGTGTAGTTGGAGCCTATCCTAGCACTCGCTCTTGAGACCAGGCTGGCCTGAACTCAGAGATCCACCTGCCTCTGCCTCCCAAGTGCTGGGATTAAAGTTCTGTGCCACCAATGCCTGGCCCCAATGCAATTTCTAAGAGCCTGACTATGGTTTATTTACTTTTACAGCTTTGGAGTTTGAATTGATTGACGACAAGAACAAGTAAAAAGAAAACTAAAAAAAAAATTCCCTTGTTTTTATAACTATAATCTCAACTCAACTGCTGCTTTACCAAACACCACACACACACACACACACACACACACACACACACACACACTAAATTGGTAAGAGAAAATAAGTACTTTAAAATTTGGTCAGAATTAGGGAGACAGACAGGGTTTCTCCATGTAGCCCTGGCTGTCATGGAACTTGCTCTGTAGACCAGGCTGGCTTTGAACTAAGAGATCTGCCTGCCTCTGCTTCCTGGGTGCTGGGGTTAAAAGTGTATACCACCACTACCTGGAAAAAATCTTAATTTTGTAAAGATCTGAGTCTCACTGTTATAATCTCATCTATTCATCTATCCCAAGAGATCTAGAGTAGTGTGCTTGGTTTATGTGAAAGTTCATGTAATATGCCTGTGCCTGAAAAGAATACCATGAGCCAAAAGTAAGTAGAAGCCAAAGTCAGAAAGCATGCTGCTAGTGTTAGGTAACAATTACTTTTTACAGGTGTTATACAAATGACTTTGTGTGTTGGAATTTTGAGGGGTAGGGGTTGAGATGGTATCACTCTGTAGCTGGACTGGAACTCACTATACAGCCCAGGCTGGCTTTGAACTTGTAGAGTCCTTTTGCCTGAGCTATACAAGGCTAAGGTTATAGGCATGCGCTACCACGTCTAGTTTTTATTGGTTTGTAAGATAAGAATGGGATGCCGGGAGTGGTGGCGCACGCCTTTAGTCCCAGCACTTGGGAGGCAGAGGCAGGTGGATCTCTGTGAGTTCGAGACGAGCTTGGTCTACAAGAGCTAGCTAGTTCAAAGCCACAGAGAAACCCCGTCTTGAAAAACAAACAAACAAACAAACAAAAAGAATGGGATGAATGAAATGGGAAAAAGTACTTAACACAAAAACCTAAGGGTCTTAGTTTGATCCCTAGAACCTATATAGTGCAAGGAGAGGACTGAATCCCACAGTTGTCCTCATGCCTCCCCACACTTGAGCTCTCTCTCTCTCTCTCTCTCTCTCTCTCTCTCTCTCTCTCGCGCTCACACACACACACACACACACATGCACACCGGTCAATCAGTCATTGAGCCAGTGATGGCTTGGTAGGTAAGGTGTTTGCTGTCAAACCTGAGGATCTGAGTTTGATCATCAGGCCTCTTAAAGTGGAAAGAAAGAATGCAAATTGTCCTCTGGCCTCTATACACAAACTGTGGCAAGAGAGGTGTGGTGTGTGCCCATCCTCCACCAATAAATAAAAAAAATAATGTCATTTAAAAATTAAAGATAGAAAAAAATTAAAGATAGGGCTGTTATTTGCAGAAGAAAAGATTTCAGGATGTGTCAATATGAAGCAAGTTGGAGTGTATTAAGAAAAATTTCAGGCTGGACAGTGGTGACAGTTCCTCCCTTGCTGCCAGGGTTTCAGCAGGCTTTTCTTAGCCCTAGCATATAAATTTCTAGAGAAATTGTAATTCTTTAGTATCCCTAGTATAGTTTTAGAAACCAGGAGATCACTGTGTCAGAAACAGCTCTGTCATGCTATCTAGACTTTTCTACAGTCCACATGTGGACAAGGATTAAGCATGGCCTGTTTGGCGTTTTGAGACAATAGCCTGTGCCTCCCTCAGGAGGCATACATCAGTGCCATTTCCAGGCGACTCAGGACTTCGTAGCTCTCCTTTGTGGTGCCAAGCTGTAGGCTACAATGCTTCTCCCTGAAATACTTTCTGTGCTGGTTCCTCAGCAGCAAAAGCAACAAATGATCTAAACTGTTTCCTGCCATACTGTGGGGCCTAGGAATAAAGCTGCTTGCAGATCCTGCCAACCTTAGCTGTCTGCAGAAGAAGCAGTCTGCACCCTCTGCACTCATGATGGATCAAATCATTGGAAATGTAGCAAAGCAATCTGAAAATCTGTGGTAGTGACACTGTGAACCCAAATCAGCAACAACTGCATTGCTGCTTAGGAATAGCCTGGCTGCTTGATGGTTAGTAACCTTATCTATAGGCGGTGGTACATCAGTCAAGAGGAATGCCTGTTGAGGCATTCCTCAAGAGGAAGAACAAAAAAGTCAAACATGCTACAGTCTTCCCACTGGGATGATACATTTTTTTTTAGTCTTAATTCACACACTCTTCATGTGTTTATAATGACTTTCAGGTTAACTAAGCACAATGGGTTCCTACTTAGATGAGTGCAAAACCAAAACAACCACAGCCAAGACACACACACACACACACAGTGGCGCTTGCCTTTAATTCCAGTACATGGGAGGCAGGGTAGGTGGATCTCTGTGAGCTTGAAACCAGCTTGGTTACATAGTAAATTGATTAATATGGAGGACAGGAATACTTCTGGGCATGTTTGGTTTGCCTAAATTCTTTCTTCTTTCCTGTTTTTGTTTATAGGGGAGAGCTCAAAGGCATTCCCCCACTACCACTAATTATGCAGTCAAGTTTGCTGCATTTAGGGAAATCACATGGGTCAGAACATTGGGAATGCAATTGATAAGCCCTGGGAAAACACCTTCATGATCATAGTACCACCCATTCCAGGTAAGTATATAAGTTCTGTCTTTTAAAAAAAATGTTTTTGATTTTGCTTCCATGTATGTCAGGCACCGTGTGTACTGAGTATTTTGCTCAATATACTTCATGTGCATGAAGTACCCATGGAGGCCAGAAGAGGGCATCAGATATCCTGGAACTGGAGTCACAAACAGCTATGAGCTAACATGTGGGTCCTGGGATTGAACCCTAGTCTTCTTAACTGTTAAGCCACCTTTAGTCCCAGTTTACATAAATTCTACATGAAAGAAAGAAGGAAGGAAAGAAGGAAGGAAGGGAGGAGCATTTTGAAGTTGTATCAATATTGTAGTTTTTCCCTAATAGGAGCCGGCCAGGATTAGCAGTGAACACAGGCACTGCTGTAAGGCTGGTGGCTCAGCGGTGAGACACTGTCACCAGCCTGAGCCCCAAATCTATCCATTTCTGTTTATTTCCAGATGCTGTTTGCTAGCAGTAGGTAAAAATGTTCTTTGCTGCAGCTTCAGGAGATGAACCAACAAACTCACATGGAGTTTATTGGGAAAGGGAGTGAAGAGAGAGGTAGGTGTTAACTGATCCGGAACAGAAATAGAAAGAGAAAGAACAGGCAGGAGGGTGCTTGCTTAAAAGGGAAAGGGAGTGGTTCAGAATGAGGCTCAGTAGTTGGGGCCCTTGAAACTGGAGTCATGGAACTGCTGTTGGCCCAGTTTGGCATGGCCCCAGCTCAGCATGATTTCTGCATGCAGAATCCTTATGCAGCCACTTAACACATGCATGACATAGCCATGCAACCTTTGACAGCCTTTGAGCTGTCAGCATAATGCCAGGATATCAACAAGGAACACTCAAGGAAGAAGGACATCCAGAGAAGAGGGATCCCGAGGATCAGAGAGGCCTGCCTGGAGACCAGGAAAGGTTCCCTAAGGAGAAGGCCCAGGCCCAGGAGAGGGCTGGCATGGAGTGCCGGACAGGTGCTGAGGAGAAACCACCAGGGCGGGAGAAGGAGAGGACCAGGGCCAGGTTGCCTAGGACCCAGGGAGAGGGGGAAGTCAGGATATCAACAAAAGCTCTTTACTGGTAACTACATGCTTTCAACTGTCTAGCACTAAGTTATGGAATATTCCCAAATGTGCAGGAGCGCTGATCTGACAGGTCCCATCTAGTCTGGAGGCTATTTTGACAGCTGGAAGATAACCTTGGGGGTCATTATCATTATAATCATGAAAACAACCCACTGGTTCCCTGAGAGATCTAACCAAATTAGGAAAAAAGTAAAGGTGGTAGGAACCCTGATCGCTGAAAATCTGTCTTCACAAGGAACTATGATATAGCTGGTATGGTGGCTGTAAGGCAGGAATGAGCATTCCACAACAATCTGGGCTATACAGTAAAACTGACTCAAAACAAAATTCTCAAAATTTCAATGACACCAGCACTTGGGTGGCAGAGGCAGGTGGATCTCTGTGAGTTCGAGGCCAGCCTGGTCTACAGAGGGAGTTCCAGGACAGCCTCCAAAGCCACAGAGAAACCCTGTCTCGAAAAAACAAGAAAAAAAAAATTCAATGACAGCATTCATACTACAATCCACATAACCCAGTCCTAGAAAAACCCAGGCTGGCACAGGCCTGTAATCCTAGCACTGGGCAAGGGGCTGAAACAGGAAGATCCCCACACATGAATTCTAGGAAAATATGGGGTAAAAAGTGAGAACCTGTCTTTACAAAGCACCCACCGTCTCGGGAATCTTTCTGGAATTAACACTGACATCAGTGAGAGTGGAAGAGAGGTGTCACTGTTGACTGAAGCCAGGGCAGCTTCTGAAAGGCTTCCATCCTGGGTCTAGTTTGTACACTTCTTTTATACTCTAAAAGCCCAAGCAGGTTTCTTAACAGCAATGACCCATTATTTCAGCTATTTCTCCAGGTCATTCTGTTTCAGGTAGCAAGTGATGTCATGTTTGACAAATAAGCAGTACAAAGAGTGCTTTAAGTACATCACTAAGTAGATTCACAAACCAGTATCTAACAATTGGTCTTTTCTACTTCACCAATACACAAAGATTCAGTCCTTAGGTCTGCCCTGGGAGAAGAGGATACACTCCAACTCTCTATTCATGACCATTAAATAAAATACACTGTCAGCCTCAGCAACTGTTTGGTTACTTGCCAGCACTATTACTGAGTAAGAAAAGAACCTGCAAATTCAGAAACAGAATCAAAGGAAGCTTTGTAGTCAGAAGACCCAGGCAGGAAAAATGTACAAATTCACTGACTAGCCAGGGCTACATAATGTCCATTTGAGAAGCAGAGGCTTTGTTTCTATTTGGCTTAAACGCCCACAGGTACAATCAGGTACAATTGAGATTACATCATGAGTGATTTTTCCAACAATTCCTAAAAAAAATAAAATTAAACTGTGAATTACACTATGGCAATAAATTTGAGGGCAGGAGAGATGGCTCAGCAGTTCAGAATACTTGCTATCTAGTTTCTACAGGCTCCAGTTTGTGTGCAGTGTGAAAATTATTTCGGGCAAAGGATAGTCCTTAGTTTTAAACAATGTTTCTTTTCTTTCTTTTTTTTTTTTTGGTTTTTTGAGGCAGGGATTCTCTGTGGCTTTGGAGGCGGTCCTGGAACTAGCTCTTGTAGACCAGGCTGTTCTCGAACTCACAGAGACCCGCCTGCCTCTGCCTCCTGAGTGCTGGGATTAAAGGCGTGCGCCACCAACGCCTGGTTAATCTGGCTTTAAATTTTTTTTTTACTTAAATTTATTTTATGTGCATTGGTGCATTGGTCCCCTGGAAGTGGAGCTAGACAGTTGTGAGCTGCCATGAGGGTGCTGGAAATTGAACTTGGGTCCCCTGGAAGAGTAACCTGTTTAGCTTTTTTGAGACAGGGTCTTGCAATATATTTGATTCTGGCTTGGAATTCGTAATCCTTTTTGCCTCAGTTTCCCAAGCACTGGGATTACAGGCCTGCCACAGACACCCAGCCCAGGTGTTAGTTATTTAACCCATGCTTTACTTGAGATTTAGCTTATGACAAAGAGGAAAGGCAGCGCAGCGCGGATCTTATCTGGTTGAGGCCAGACAGCAGATTCGGGTAGCACTGGCGGTGGAACGGTGAGCATCCCGGGGCCCCGCCCAACCCGTGCGTAGGGGCGCCGTTCTCTGAGACCCTAAAGAAGCTCCGGAAGTGCGCGGCCACTGTCGCTGCGCGTGCGCAGCGTGGCTGTTCCGCCCCCAATCGGCAGCCAGCTTGCCTCCTCAGCGCGGGCCCAGCCCGATGTAGGCGGGTGGCTGGTCCAGAGGGCACTAGCCGAGGCGAAGCTCCTACTGTCCTGTCTGTCGCTTTGCAGGTGGGCACGGACAGCCGGCAGGCAGGTGCAAGGGCGTCGAGCCGTGGAAAGGCCGCGCCGCCAAGGGACTTGGCGGGTCCCGGGCTGGCTGCCCCAGCTTTTGGCCGAGGGCGCTGATGATGCTGCGACACCTGGGAGGAGGGATAGTGGAGGAGGCAGCGGTCGCGGCCAGACGGGCCACCCAGCAGCGGGAGGACCAGTGGGAGGGACAAGCCGCTGGAGGCGACGCGGCCTTGGGAGGCATGGATGTGAAGGACGATGGCCTTTAGGTTTTGCCTAGAGCTGACCCTCGCCGCCTATTTTGTGTCCTCTCACACCCACAACCCTGTGAGGCATACCGCTGTGAGACCCTGAGCCTTTTCCAGGCTGGCCCTCTAAGGCTGAGGCGGTGCTATGCACCCGCTCTTGGTGCATGGCTGGAACCGTGCTTGGGGGCAGTTCTCAGTTTGGATAGCAGGACGGGACAGGTCACACGCTGGCTCTCAAGGCTTCAATACACCCCAGAAGGCCACTTCAGAAGCAAGGTCTGTCGTCTTCCTCTGACCATCTTGTTCACTGCCCCAGCTGAATGGGGCTGAGTTTGTCTGTTTTCTCTCCCTGAGAGTAAGTTGGGAGGCCACAGGCCAGGGCTGCCTCCTGTCTACAACGGATTCCAAGTTGGTTCACGGTCCAGATGGCTGCCAAGTCCTGCTCCGGGCCTCCGGTGAGTTATTCTCTCTCCCTACTGCCCTGGTCACAAGCTGTCTCCTCTAGATCTGTGAGGTGAGCAGATTGTGAAGCTGGGAAGGACCAGGACATAGACTACAATCTCTTATAGGGATATGTTCAATTGGTCCTTGTCTGGTCCGCTGGTCTCAGCTCTGCTACCCCATCAGAAATCAAGAAGCCACACACCCTGGTGCACTCTCAGCATATTGTCATTCCAGGGCGAGATGCCTCTGACCTTCCAGGATGTGGCTGTGTACTTCTCCAGGGCGGAAGGGCAGCAGCTGGGCCCCCAGGAACGGGCGCTGTACCGGGATGTGATGTTGGAGAACTATGGGAACGTGGCCTCACTGGGTGAGAACTGCCCTGGAGTCCTGGCTCACAGTGGGGAGTCTCTAAGGGACTTTGGGACTCATTAGGCTCTTTGATTCCCAAAGAAAAGAGGATCCTGCTCTTGTCCCCAGGTGCCAGTCTACCTAGTTCTAGGGACTATGTTCCTTGTTGCCAATAACCTCACAGTGCCATCCCTTTCCACACCTTAGGCATTTGAATTCTCTTGCCCCTTGGCCTCTCCTGACCAGTGTCCCCATGCAGGCAGAATGTTCCCTGTCTGGCGTGGAGGACCCAGCAGGCAGGGTCCTGCTCCATTCCCCCCCAGGTTGCAGCAGCTCACCCAGGGTCCTCACCCTTAACAGGATTTCCAGTCCCTAAGCCAGAGCTGATCTCCCAGCTGGAACAAGAGGAGGAGCTGTGGGTCCTGGATCTTCTGGGGGCTGAAGAACCAGAAGTCTTAAGACATTGCCAGACAGGTGAGCATAAGTCAGAGGCTGGTCTCAGGAATGGCCTCCCATTCCTGCCTTTGTAGCTGGAGTGAGGGCTAGAAGTGGAGGCAAATACAGTGAGGGTATACAGTCCAGCCCTCTAAGGGAAGACATGGCTCAGGATGCTCATGCTTGAAAACTTTTCCTTTGCTGGTCCATTTGCTTTGTCTTAAAACAAAAACAAGAACAAAACCAACATTGTAGGTTTCTGGTCATAATATGCTTTGTTCTTTTATATATCTTCATTAACTTTTTTGTAGAATATGCTTTCTCTTTTCTTACTAGCTACAGGGTCTATAACTTGCTCCTTTCTCCTTCATGTCTTCCTCTTCAACCCTCAATTTTGGTCAACAAAACTTTCTTCTCTTTTTCTTTCTGAGACTAGGTCTTTTGTGTTGCTCAAGCACGTTTTAAACACCTGGGATCAAGTCATCGGTCCTGGAGCCTTGGCCTCCATAGTAGCTGGGACTAAAAGTACATACCACCACACTTGGATCATTAATATTTCTTATAATGTCTTCCATCCCACCCTCCTTTCCCTTTGCCTCAGCCTGCTCATGTAGCCAAGGCTGGCCTTGAACTCCATGTGTAGATGAGGATGTCTTTGAACTCCTCATCTTCCTGCCTCTGCCTCTCAAGTGCTAGGACTATAGGCGTGTGAAGCCACACCTGGCCTTTGAATATTTTCTTCATTTTAGCTTTATCAGCTCTCAGTATTTTGACTCTCGGATACTCCTGAGGCTCTTCTGTTTTCTTCTCTTTTCTCCTTGTTCCTCTCTGTCCTGATACACATGTACATCAGAGTATATAGTACTTCATCAGTCATGTCCTCATACTTGCTGTTCTTTTTTTTTTTTTTTTTGTAAAGTTAAGTATATCAATGTTTGCCCTTTATTAGTGATTGGCCCCTTTACCAAGAATGAATGCATCATCATTTCTGAGTGATTTTCTCCAAATTTTTACACATTTGAAATTGGCTACATGAAGCCTTTCTTTTCTAAAATTGGGAGCTTAGATCACTGATTTGTATAGCACAAATAATAAAAACCCAGAGGTAGATATTCGGGTTCAAGCTGAGGATCAGAGAAGCAATGAGGCCTGCCTCTAGCTACCTTTACCTCAGGCTGAAAGAGCTGTCCTGTCCTCAGCATGGCTGGAGAATAAATCTCTGAGACTCAATACTGATACCGCTCCTATCTTATATATCTTTCAAGAGCTGGGATTAAAGGCATGGGATCCCAAGTGCTGAGATCTCCTTTGTGTGAGCTGTTTCTCTTTTAGACTGATTCACTCTAATGTAACTCTGAGTGGCCTTGAACTCACAGAGATCCATCTGCCTTTGTCTCCTGAGTCCTGGGATTAAAGGTGCCACTGCCTAGCTTCTGTAGCTAACAAGTGTGACTGGTGGAATTAAAGGTGTACATCACTATTGCCTGGTTCTATGGCTGTGGCTAGCTTTGCATTTTGATCTCCAGTTGCTTTATTGGGTCATAAACAATATATCACCACAGATTTGTAATTTTTCTTTTTAAAGATGTCTACAGCAAGGCTTTATGAAAATACAGGCTTAAATATAGTTCACATTTTTACAGATACTACTGTTGTGTAAGTGTATGCCTATGTTATGGTGTGCATACTTTAGTTCAGGTGACTGCAGAGGTCAGAGGCATCAGAGCTCCAGGTGTTACAGGCATTGTAAGCTGCCCAGTGAGGATACTGGGTACCAAATCAGGTCCTCTGGAAATCAGTGAGTGCTCTTGACCACCAATACATCTCTTTAGCCTGTCCTGTGTGTGTGTGTGTGTGTGTGTGTGTGTATGTGTGTACGTGTGTACGTGTGTATGTGCAGCACACTGGACTTATGCATGCTAGGCAAGTGCCCTACCAATGAGCTGATCCCTTTTTGTGTCTTTTATTTTGAGACAGCATCTTAGTTGCTCGTGCTGGCTTTGAACTCGATTTATACTCTACGCTTGGCTTTAAGTTTGTGAACCCTACTCAACCCTAGGTAGCCAGGGCTATAGGGCGGTGCCATCAGGTTCCGGTGCATTTCATGAATTTCCATAGGCTTTATTAGCATTTAGTTCAAAATATCTGTTTTTTTTTTTTTTTTAACAACTCTTTGGCCCAATCTATATTTGTATGTGTGTGAATTGCTGTTTTTCTAATTATCTCAGTGTGGTTAATTTATTATATAATTCCAGTATGGTCAAGGACCATAACTCTTTATGTTTTGTTTTTTGTTTTGGTTTAGTTTGGTTTTGGTTTTTGAGACAGGGTTTCTCTGTGTAGCTTTGGAGCCTATCCTGGAACTCTTTCTGGAGACCAGGCTGGCCTCGAACTCACAGAGGTCTGCCTGCCTCTGCCTCCCAAGTGCTGGGATTAAAGACATGCACCACCACTGCCCAGCTATGGTTTCATTCTTATATTGGCTAGATGGCTTATGACTTCCAGGCCTCTTGATGAGCATACCATGTGTGTATTAGTAACTTTTCTGTTGCTGTGATTGAATACCTTGGCTTGGAGGGGATAGAGTCCATGGTGGAGGGAGAGTCATAGCAGAAGCGATGTGAGGCCAACCTGGCAGTCAGAACACAGAGTGGTCACATTTCATCTGCAGATGGAGGTGGTGGAAAGACACGGATGGGGACAGGAAGCCCTGCAGCAAGGCTCCATCTGCTAAACGTTCCGTAACCTCCAAATGCCCAAAGAGTACCGCCAACTAGGGACCAAGTGTTCAGATATATGGGTCCATGGGAGACATTCTAATGGAAACCACAGCATCCATGTAAAAAAAGAAGGGTGTTCTGTAGTTACAGGACTGTACAAATGTCACTTAAGTTGATGAGACTAATGTGTGCTTCAGATCTACCTATGTTGTCCCTATTTTTTTTGTTGTTTGTTTGTTTGTTAACGAAGTTTGTTTGCTTGTTTAACTATTCGCCCGGCTTCTTTCAGTTACTAAGAATATCCAAGGATGTGAAGTTGTCTTTCCATGGATTTATTCAGCATCTGCTAGCTCTATTTTGAAGCTGTGTTACTGACTTGTTCTCATTTATGAGACACATTTTAGGGATGTTAACTTAGCAACTCCAGTCTTGTTGCTGTTTGTCTTAGCATGGAGTATCTTTCCCATCTATTTAATTTCAGCTGTGCTTATTTAAAGTATCTGTCTTCTAGATAGTACACAGTTGGGTCCCATTTTCTATCCATTTTTGTCTTTTCATTTCTGTGTTCAGTCTAGTAACTCTCATTCTTGTTTCATCCCTTTGTCTCTCCTCTTCTGCTTTAGTGTTGGGGGCAGAACCTAGAGATTTTTTGTTTGTTTGTTTGTTTGTTTGGTTTTTTTGAGACAGGGTTTCTCTGTGTAGCTTTGGAGCCTATCCTGGCACTCGTTGTGGAGACCAGGCTGGCCTCGAACTCACAGAGATCCGCCTGCCTCTGCCTCCCAAGTGTTGGGATTAAAGGTGTGCGCCACCAACACCCGGCGAACCTAGAGATTTTTGCATGCTAGGCAAAAATCTACCACTGAGCTGCACCCCTAGCCATAAATCGGTATTTTGTAGATAATAACTTTGTTATTTTCTTGGGTTTTTGTGTTGTTTGTTTTTTATTTTGATTTGAGACAGAGTCTCTCTATGTAGCCCTAACTGTCCTGGAACTCACTTTGTGGACCAGACTGGCCTTGAACTCAGAGATCCGCCTGTGTCTGCCTCCCAAAAGCACCACCACACCTGACTTCTCATGTTCATTTTTGGCACAGGGTCTCATGCAGCCCAGGAGGACTTCAGACTTACTATGCTTGTGAATCTGTCTTTAACTTTTTTTTTTAAGATTTATTTATTTATTTATTTTTCTTAAATTTTTTTTTGTTTTTTATTATTTGGTTGGTTGGTTTGTTTTTATTTTTCTTTTTTTTAAGATTTTATTTTTATTTATTATGTATACAGTCTTCTGCCTGCATGCCAGCAGAGGGTACCAGATCTCATTCAAGGTGATTGTGAGCCACCGTGTGGTTGTCGGGAATTGAACTCAGGACCTCTAGGAAGAGCAGTCAGTGCTCTTAACCGCTGAGCCATCTCTCCAGCCCTGATTTATTTTATTTATTAAGTATGCAGTGTTCTGTCTGCATGTGTCCCTGCAGGCCAGAAGAGGGCACCAGATCTTATTTCAGATGGTTGTGAGCTACCATATGATTGCTGGGAATTGAACTCGGGAAATCTGGAAGAGCAATCAGTGCTCTTAACCTCTGAGTCATCTCTACAGCCCTGTCCTTAACTTCTTGATCCTTCTGCCTTCTGAGTTCTGGGATTAACCATCATGCCTATGTGTTTTGTACTTATTTCCTTTCTAAACATTTTTATTTCTTTTTTCCTCTTTCTTGTCTTTTATGACAGCCTGCCACTCTTTATTTTAGCTCTATA